GTGCCCTCTTTAATACCCATCACCAGGCTAACCCATCCCCCCACCCCCCTCCCCTCTAGAACCCTCAGTTTGTTTTTCAGAGTCCATCTTGACAGTATCTTTTGCAAGGTAAATATATAAGTATCCCCCTCCTTTGCTTTATCTTTTCTCCTATCTTCTTCCAGGCACATTATACTTTTATACTGCTATGTTTGATAATACTTATATTCTGTTCTGGCCTTGTATTTAGACCTTCTCTATTTTCTGTGATCGTAAGGGTTGAAGACTGATCGTGGCTTACGTTCTTACAGCTATAGAGATTTTTCACTACAGAAGAAAGTTTTTGCCTGGTATACATTGCATTCTCTATGGGCCCAGTGTCAAGACTTGACAGAGGATGTTCTCAGCATCAACCCAAGGTCAAATGGATACTCTTTTCTTAACACTCCATATGTTGATCAATACCAGGTTATGTTTACTTAAAAAAATATTTGGACCATGACTTTTTTCTCTTGGTGTTCTTAATTGCTTTCCTTTTTCTTTGTTAAAAGAAAAGACATATGCCTCAGGCCCCCTAACTGAGAAGTTTAATAAAACACAAAAGAACTTTCATCTTGTTGCTCTATTCTTGCTTTCAATGTATCCATTTTTGAGGTCTTTTTGTTGGAGACCGTGGACTTCCTGCCCTAATTTGGATTCACTTCTTTCTAGGTCTGCTGACAGCTAAAATGCTAGGACTTTTTTTTTTTTTTTTCTGATTCTTGATTTTTTGAAACCCATGGCATTTTTATTTTTCATCCTCATTTTTCCATAGTATGTCTTCAAGTAACTTACTCAAAAGGGTGCACAACCCCGATGTTTATTGCAGCATTATTTATTATAGCCAAATTATGGAAGCAGCCCAAGTGTCCATTGATAGGTGAATGAAAAAGAAGTGGTTTATAGGTACAATGGAATATTACTCAGCCATAAAAAGAATGAAATCTTGCCATTTGCAACAACAAGGATGGAGCTAGAAAGCATAATGCTAAGTGAAATAAGTCAGTCAGAGATAGACAAATACCATATGATTTCACTCATATGTGGAATTTAACAAGCAAAACAAATGAGCAAAGGTAAAAAAAAAAAAATGAGGTAAAAAAAGAGAAATAAATCAAGAAACAGACTCTTAGCTATAGACAACACACTGATGGTCACCAGAGGGGAGGTGGGTGGGGGATGGGTGACGTAGGTGATGGGGATTAAGGAGTGCACTTGTGATGAGCACCGGGTGATATATGGAGGTGCTGAATCACAATATTGTACACCTGAAATGAATATTACACTGTATGTTAACTGGAATTTAAATAAAAACAAAACACCAAAAAAGCCAAAAAAATAAATGAAACACTACAAAGGGGATACATAAGAAATAAAATTTAGGACTCTTTGATAATACCTTGAATGACAACTTGGTTGGTACACAATTGGTTTTGAAACCCTCTCCCTCAGAACTCTGAAGGAATGGACTCCTGGTCTTCTAGTACCCAGTACTGCTGATGAGAGGCTCCCATGTTGTCCTGAACCTCACTTCTACCTTGGGTCCCCTGCCCCTATCTCTTTAGCCCATCATGCAACCAGGAAACTTACCATTTGCTCTTGACCCCTGACTTCTGAAATTCCATTATGGTGTGTCTTTGTAAAAGCTGATTCGAATCCACTCTGTTCAGTACTGACTGAGCCCCTCCAATCTCATGTTTCTCCAGTTCTAGAAAGTTCTTTCTAAAATTCTCATTGGCAACATGTTGCACAGAGATCAATCCTCTCCATGCCATCTTGACTCTTGCACTTTTTGTCTCTTTGTGTATCATATATATTTTGTTATATACCATTTTATATCTACATATAGACGTAAGTATCCCTATCCTCATAAAACAAATAATATACAGGGTGCCTGGGTGGCTCAGTTGGTTAAGCGACTGCCTTCAGGTCAGGTCATGATCCTGGAGTCCCGGGATCTAGTCCCACATCAGGCTCCCCGCTCACTGGGGAGTCTGCTTCTACCTCTGACCCTCTCCCCTCTCATGCTCTCTCTCAAATAAATAAATAAAATCTTTAAAAAAAACAAATAATATACATTGAATAAAAACAAATTATATAAAATATACATTTTTAAAATTATACACATACATACATACATAATTTTGTCCTGGGGGAGTTCCTTGACTTTACCTTCCAATCATTTCACTGAATTATCAGTGACATAATTCTACATTTCTACATTCCAAAGAGCTCTTTACAATTCTCTGATAGTTCTTTTTATGTTTTTTATAGCATCTCATTCCCTTTTTATGGGCATTGTTTTCTTAATTTTCTTAAAGGATACTAATTAGAACCTTCAACACTTATTCACACTGGCGTCAGCTGCCGTGTGCGAATGCGTGGGTTTGTGTGTGTGGGACAGGGTTTGTCAGTCTGCCTTTGTCTCTTGCGGGGTTGGCTTTCTCCAGGATCTGGTGAGCCTCAAGGGTAAATGAAGAGCTGCACTGTGTTTTCTAGAAGGCAAGGATGGGGGGATATGCTCGGGGATGCCTTCTCAGAATGAGAGCTCGTGCCGGTGGTTAGACCTCAGCCTTTGTTCTTTCACTTGTGGGTGAGTCAGCAGCTGGGAGAAGAGTGTAGGGAGCCAGATGGAAAAATTATAGGGTAAACTGACTTCCTGATCCCCCCTCGGCTGTTTCCAATTCTCTTTCTCACTCCTGTCCTCCTTCACTAGCAACTCCAAGCCTGGGGCCTCCCCAGGGTTTGGCTGGGCAGACGGGCTGACTCCAGAGCGCTCCTCTCCTACAGCCTTTCTAAGTGGATTCTGGCCTGCAGCCCTCCTGCCCTGTGGGATCTGTCAACCTGCTTTCATCCTCTTTCCAGGAACTGATCGAACTATCCCCTTCTGGGTTCTACACTTCTAAGTCCTCTGTCTCAAAAAACAAAATTATATGATCACTGTTAGGGATCTCAGGACACCATCTCAAAGCAGAGCCTCACTAGGCATTTTTAATGAACAGACTTTTGAGGGTGGTCAGGTGGATGGCACAAACAAGAAGTGGGTAGAAAATGCCAGCTGTACCAAGAGTCTTTAATGGAGAGCATCTGTCTTATCAGCGGGGCAGAAAGCAATCATGAAGAAGGAGGAGAGAGAAAGAAGGACACAGAATGTGGGCCAACCGACCAATAAATAGGAAAAGTAAGATTCTGAGTAGGCAAAAATGCAGAAAATGGGGAGGGCGGGTCATGTTGCCTCAGCAGACTCCCTGAGCGTCCGTGGACTGTTCTGGTCGCAAGACATCAGCCCCCGTGCCCTGCGTATCAGGAGCCTCGTCGGATCTAACTCCCCTCCAGGGAAGGGGCATCTCTTAGGATCAGAGCCTTTAAGAGGAAAGCCCTCACTCTGTCTGGCATTCAAGGCCCCCTATATCATGGTCTTACCCTTCAAGTCCTACCCTCACTCTCTGCCCCCATGCCTTTCTGTTTCCTGTTGCTGGGTGTACGATCTCAGTGTTTCTCCACCCATCCCTCCACCAACTCTTTGCCTCCACCGGGAAGCCCATCTCTATCTTGACAAAGTCTATCCACGGCACTTGGGAAGAGGAAGGTTGTGTGTGGGGACGGTGGACAGGCAAAACCAACCACAGCTGGGAAGGACCAGGTCATGTTTTGTTTTCTTTGGTGAAATGGAAGCTCAGAGATGGAGAGATGGAGGCAGACGCCAATTCTATTTACATAGACCCAGGGCTTAATCTCTACCAACGGTATTACGTGCTTGAAACGCCTCCTGGTGTGGCGTAGAAGGACGGTGCCCGCCTCAACCCCCCAAGCCGGTAACCTCCTTAAGGCAGAGCACATCCTGGAGAAGTAATGGCAGCTCAGGGTCCTTGTCTGTAAAGTGCCTCATCTGCTCCGTTGGCCTCAGGGGTTGTGGGAGGTCAGGTGGGATATGTCATATAAAGGCAATCGTGAACTCTATGGCGGTATTCATGGGGTTCCCAAAGGTATTACTGCACAGGAAAAAAAAATCTATCCATGTTCCTGTACCCCAGGATCGTCTTTTGTGGCACTTGTCACATCATGCTCCAAGGCACGGTTACTTGTGTGCACGTACTTACACATTCTGGAACGTTAGCATCTGCAAAGTTGCTCAGTGAAAATAATGGACTTCCGGAAAATGGAATGAGGGGAGACCGCTCAGAAAGTACAGAACTTTGTATCCAAAGCCTGAAATATTTGATAACGCATCCTAATCCCAATAAAAACACTAGCTAGCACAGTTAAATCACAACAGCGTTTGCACCTTGCCTCACGTTGGCCAATCCTTTGTAGCTTGCTTTTCCAACCAATCTTCCTTCCTTCCTAAGTTTATTTACTTTTTTTAGTCATCTCTACACCCACATGAGGCTCAAACTCACAACCTCAAGGTCAAGAGTCACATGCTCCTCCAACTGAGCCACCCAGGCACCCCTATTTTATAAGATTTTTTAAAAGTCATCTCAGTGCCCAATGTGGGGCTCAAACTCACATCCCTGAGATCAAGAATCGCACACTCCACTGACTGAGCCAGCCAGGTGCCCCATTCGGGGGACCAGTCCTTCCTCTTCCAAGAGGTAGGCCATGGGTATACGACCATTTTAATCATGGTTAAAGATCTGTTCTAGACGGAGTCTTCTTCATGCATCCACTGTTTTAATGCAAGGAGAAATATCTTCACCTGCCCTGAGCCTCTCCAGAAAGCAGTAGAAACCGTCATGGCTCCCAAGGCCATGGAACCTGTAATACTCTCCCTGAAGTTTCAAGGTTTTTCCTGAAAGTCTATACCTACTACTAAACATCTTCATTTTCTGTAGCTGCTCTAACAAATGACTGCTGATGTGGTGGCCTGAAACAACACCGAGCCATTCTCTTACAGTTTAGGTGCTCGGAAGTCTGAAATCAAGGTACTGACAGGGCCCGTCCCTTCTGGAAGCTCTATGAGAGAATGTTTTCTTGCCTTTTCCCGAGTCTAGAGGCTGCCTGTGTTCCCTGGCACTGGTCCCTTTCTCTGCCTTCAACACCAGCAAAGGCTGGTGGAGGTTTTTCCTATGGTGTCCCCAGGACACTCACCCTCCTGCCTCCCTCTTTTACTTATAAAGACCATTGTGATTATATAGGGCCACCCAGGTGACCATCTCCCCATCTCAAGGTCAGCTGATTAGCAACCTTAATTCTATCAGCGACCCTAATCTCCCGTTGCCATGTCACATACATAGATTCTGGGGATGGGGATGCGGACATCTCGGGGTGAGGGGAGGGGGGCGGCATTAGTCTGCCTACCACCCTCAGGTTATTTTAATTGTGAGAAAGCTTGTCCTTGATCACTTCAAAATGCTTACAAGCTCAGAAACTTGCCTAAGAACAAACACGGCTCCCATATTCTACTACTATCAGGTCCTCCCTAATCCTGTCTGAAGTAATTCACAGGAAAAGAACATGTGCGAGAGCAGAATGGGCTGGGGCTTAGTCCTCTGTTGGACTGTGAGCTTTCTGATGGTAGGGGTACCATCTTTCCCTTGCGTTCCCCACCACACATTCCACAGCGTGGGCGCCCCAGTAAAGAGGTCTTGAAATGAATTATTCCTAGGCAGAGACATATTTGTATATCTAAAGCAACCCTTTGGATCAAGAATGACCCATCAGCCAAGAAAAGCAGTAAGCGACAAAAAAAAAAAAAAAAAAAACTCAAGAGGGAAAACCCCGGTGTACCTTGAGCACAAAGTTGTCCTCAGCCTGGAGCTTCAGATCCACTACTGCCTTCCGAACCAACGCTTCGAAGTTGAGATCTCTCCTCCGGGGGACATCCAGGGCAGGAAAGAGGTCCCCAATCAGGCCCATGAACACTGGTATGTCATCAGTCACGATCTTGGGGATGTTGAAATCTCGCAAGGAGCGCATCAGGACTTGGTCCTCGGGGCGGTCAGGGTCCCCTCGCTTCAGGGATCCAGCCACCACCAGCACAGACTTGATGGCCCGCAGGCCCCAGTCATAGTGATCCTGAGGGAAGGAGGCACAGGTCAGGCAGGACCCGCTGGGATGCAGAACGCCCTATGCCCATGCTAGTATCTATAAAACTATAGGCAGGTGACTTCTGAGGCCAAGGTGGAGGCTCAGGAAAGGACCAATGACATGGGATATCGTCGTGGTCACAGATCCCAGCTCCCGGTCTGGCTAATGCTACTTTTCAGCTGTGATGACAATGAAGCAGACCCAGAGCATACAGGGGGTTGGGGGCCAGGGAAAGCAAAAAGAACCACCTCCCAACCTATCTGGCTACTCCTTGCATGTTCAGAGAGCGGAAGGGCATCCAGGAGGAAGCCACGTTAGCTCTTAGAGATGGTCGAGGCTAAGCTCACATGCTCTGCAGCAGGGAGGCCTTCAAATGCTCTGAGAAAAGCAGTGAAGAAAAATTACCAGTAGCAACTCGTAGAAAGGCAGTGGCAAGAGTTTAAATCAAGAGGCAGGGGTGCCTGGATATAAAGTGGTAGGAAGAAAATGAGATGGATTTGAGAGAGATCCAGAGGGTGGAATGCACAACCATTCATCCTTGATTAGATGGAAAAGAAAAATGCCTGGAAAAGAAAAACGCCAAGGATGACTCCCAGCATTCCAGGATTAGCCAGTGAGTAAGTGAGGGTTTTGCGTTCTGAAGCACGGAATGCAAGAGAAGTAGGCTGGGGTGCGGACCAGCAGGGAGACGGGCTTTAGATGCTGAGTGAGGGGAGCTTTCCTCACACTCAGGAGAGCTGTGGTGTAGACCGCTGAATATACAGGTTTAGAGCTCAAAAGAGGGGTTCGGGGTGGATGTGTGGCTGTCAGCTGCTGGCCTGCAAGCCAGTGGCGGTGGGGACCCGGCAGTTGATGCAGTGAGCAAGGGGCCCAGGGAAGCATGGAGAAACAGAAGGTTTTTAAAGAAATCCACCTGGGACAGATTTCACGGGGCTGAGTGCGCCCATGCTGTGGCAGCAAAGATAGTTCTAGTAAGAGAGAAGTAAGTAAGAAAGGCCTGAAGGGAGGAGAAGCTCAATGGGAACAGCCCAAGGAAGCCTGACTGGCTGTCCCTGCCACCAAGAAATTCTCCACCCAACGCATGAACCTTGGAGGTTCTTGTTCCTGTGTGGGGACCTGCCCCAGGTAGAAGCCACACTTAAGGACAAGCAACAATGACCTCTGTGGGACTCCTTAATGCCTAACTATCTCTTCCCAACCCTTTCCCCATCCCATGGCCCCTCAGGTAGAGACAATTCCCTTCAAGGGAATTTTGTTGGCCACGGAGGTGTTTCTCATGGGACACTGGATCTATGAGGTGTTGCTAAGTAGTCTATGAAAAAAGTTTAGGGGCACCTGGGTGGCTCAGTCGGTTAAGTGGCTGCCTTCTGCTCAGGTCATGATCCCAGGGTCCTGGGATCGAGCCCCATGTCGGGCTCCCTGCTCAGTGGAGAGCCTGCTTCTCCCTCTCCCTCTGCCTGCCTCTCTGCCTACTTGTGCTCTCTCTCTCTGTCAAATAAATAAATAAAATCTTAAAAAAAAAAAAAAAGAAAAAAAAGTTTGGGGGCCAAATAAGGTGTTTTTTTGTTTGTTTGTTTTTTAATGCTAGGCTAAGAAAAATGAACACGAATCTTTGTTGTAGAAGTGGTCAGAGCTTTTGCTATTCTTACGGACACACTGGTTCTCTGTGAGAAGGCTCTAGTACATTGGCCCAGAGCTGGGCAATCACATGGGACTGGTGGTCCAGCCAAGCTAGGGAGAGTACCTGTTTAGACAGCAGCTCTCTGCACAACTGGTAAAGGGTGATGAACTTTCTGGCTAACGACCGTGCTTCAGTGAATCCTTCTGCCACCAGCATGATCTCGCAGATCAGCTCAAAGTCTGGAACCACCATTGCACAAGGCCTGTGAGCAGGGAGACAGAGGGCCAAGATGGTTTCCCAGCCACAGTTGAAGGGGGGCTTGGAAGACCAGCGACATTGGCTGAGATCACGGACAGAGGGATCTGTGAGTATAAACCCTTAGCTCTTAGCAAGAGTTTCATCTAAGACTCCCAAGGATAAAAGGGTTGAGTTGGCCAAGGATAAAAGACATGAACACTCTGGTCCAAGGGGATGGATGATGGTAGCAGGCAGGGGCAGAGCTGGGGCTACAGCTCATCTTGTAACTTGGGGCCAGTGTACCTTACACAGGCACAGGTTAGTAAAGCTTTAGTAATTCATAATTTATTAGTTACTTCTATAACAGATTAGGGGCTAAGTTTGAGGAATTAGGTCTCTCCTGGGGTCTACAATCTATTCCTCATTTTCAAAACATATCTCTCCTCCAAACGTAGACACTTGGGGCTTATTCTGTGCTTACATGCATACAAATGTAAATATCTAATGCTGAGGTCTAAAGTAAATACCCATTAAATCCATCTTGCCACAAAATGCATATATGAGGGGCACCTGAGTGGCTCAGCTGGTTAAGTGACTGACTCTTGATTTCAGTTCAGGTCATGATCTCAGCATCTGAGATGGAGCCCTGCATCAGGCTCCATGCTCAGCACAGAGTCTGCTTGGGATTCTCTCTCCCTCTCCCCCAGCCCCTCCCCCTGCTCGCATGTTCTCTAAAATAAATAAATAAAATCTTTTTTAAAATGTCATACATGAGAATACAGAGGGGAATTTTTGTCTCTCTATAAGGATTTGCTGTGGTTTTCCCCCCCTCTAGCTCTAGAAACATTTGATTTTAAAATTACTTATTTTTAAAATTAATTTATTAGGTATGTAACAGGAGCCTAAGGTCGTTCACATTTCCTTAACTGCATTTTCCCTACACCGATATAAAATTTTCAAAAACACATCATTCAAGAACATTTTTCCTTTAAATTATTTTACATTGTGTTGAAATTCAAAGGCGCAACCAAACACTTAGATTCTCAAAATTACTTTGCAGCCTGAAATAAGGTGAAGTATGCATCCATACAACAGAATGTGTTAAGACCATGGAAAAGAATGCTATAGGAGGAAAACTATTTAGTGGCACAGGAAAATAGTTAACAAGGCAGGATCCTCACTTATGTAGGTTCTTTTCCCAAGTTTGAAGAAAGAAACACTCTGCCCACCGGACATTGGAAGGGAGGACGCCAAAGGGTTTTAACTATCTCTGGATGATAGTATTTAGACAGGGAGAGCAAGTGTTCTGGAGTCAGACTGTTTGGGTTTGAACCCAAGTTCTGTGGCTTGCTACTTGGGCTCCTAGCTAACCACAGTAACTGGGGTTCCTACCCTAGGCAATTTGCTGACCCTATTTTCTCCCTGTACAAGGGGGGATACTAGTGGTACCGACCTCATAGATAGGGCTTTTGTGAAAATGAAGTATAAAAGTAGACGTTTGTATTTATTGTTTTTACACATATTTTTCTCCCCCCACCCCAATCCAATTTTCTGGTATAAAAGTTCCCTTTAAATTCGGGGGGGGGGATGTAAAGAGTAGTTCTGATCAGGGTGATAATCCACCTCTGTTATTGCTTGTAAACATGAGGCTCACTTAAGAAATACTTTGTGCAAACAAAGAGCCACCACTTTGGGTAACCAACAAGCTCTGGGTTACAGTGGGCACTGGCCTGGGGCCGGGGCAGGGATGCCTACACTGCACCTGTGACATAGGGATCTGCCACCACTGGAGCGCACGGGGACCCAACTGAGGGACGCAGTGCACAGGGAAGCTCTTCAGCGGTCTCCTGGGCTCCACGTCCCCACAGAGCAGGGGCTCTGGGTCCCCAGATGAAGCCGATCTCTGTGTCACGGCTCCCACTGCCTCTCTGTCTTAGGTAATGGTCCAGTAGGCAGAAAATCAGAAGCCATGAGGCATCTTTTGTTGTTGGGCTGACTTCTCTTTGCTGAGACAAAGAACGGAGACTGCAGCCCCTTCTAGAAAATGCGTTTGTGTTTTCCTAACACAATAAGAAGATTTAAAAGCATGGCAATGTCCACCGGTGGCCCAAGGCGAAATATAAGAGGTGTTCTCATGCCTCATTACTAGGAGTGTGATTCAGTACTGCTCTTGTTTAGAAAGCAATTTGTTGGTGTGTGTCAAGAGCCTTAAAATGCAAATATTTTCTCCCATTCTGTCGGTTGTCTTTTGGTTTTGTTGACTGTTTCTTTTGCTGTGCAAAAGCTTTTTATCTTGATGAA